CCATGGTGCAGGGACAAGTTGAACTTGGCCTTCTTAAAATGCACTATTCTCGACTTCTCTGAAAAGGAAAAGATATCAATACCCTGAAGAAGACAATTGAAATCTAAAAATATGGTGTGTAGACACACACCAAGAAAACATAATCTGGCTATCCACACAATAAAGAGTCTGCGATGGCCCCTACATCCCAGTGCCTAGGGACACTTTCCTGTTTGCCTCTCAGTAATGTCTCAGTTATTTTTTTCTGCCTAGAGCAGATTTTTAAATGGCCACAGGCTCCTTGGTCCTCCCTGTACTGAGATGGAACATTTTGTTCCTTGGATCTGGGTAGTGGCTGTGACCACTCTGATCAGCTGAATGTTGTTGAGATGCTGGGCTGGGCTAAGATGAGACCTTAGGAGACTGTATTTTATCATATAGGTACAATGTAAGAACCCAAATCCCTGCAGAAAAGAGCTCATGACAAAGGCCTGGACCAAGTGCAAAGGAAGAACTGGCCGAGTCCCTCCTACTCACCCCTGCTGAGAGATCAGTCAGCCATCAGATGAACGCCACCCCCTAGCCACTGTTTTAAGTTGCCATGTTTAGGGCCATTCATTTTACAGTAACAGATAACAAAACTTGGCCTAGAAGAAGAGTGGCAATTTCTTCCAGCTGAATTGGGTCTGCCTCTTGCTTCTACAAAGTCTGAATGGAGTCCAGTAGTTTCCATGGTTTACATGCATAATGGCCATGGCTACTCAAAGGCAAAGTTGAATAGTTTTTGAAAGGACACCATTAGACTCAACAAACCTAAATTAGTTACTATCTGGCCCTTTACTAAAAAGTTTATGGACCCTTCTAGGAAAAGCCTTACCCATGGAACCCAGTATTCTCTCTTCTAGAGAATATGCAGTATGCTGGCTGGTTTATGTCAACTGGACATAACTAGACTCATTTGGGAAAAGGGAACCTTAACTGAGGAAATGCCTCCACAAGTTTTCTTGGTTGATGATGGATTTGGAAGGGCCCAGCTCACTGTGGGCAGTACTACCTCTGTGTTGGTGGTTCTGGGTGCTAGAAGAAAGCAGGCTGAGAAAGGAGCAATCCAGCAAGCAGAGTTCCTTGATGGCCTCTGCTTTAGTTCATTCTCCCAGGCTTCTGACTTGAGTTCCTGCCCTGACTTCCCCAGATGATGGGGACAAGCTTTAAGATGAAATAAACCCTTTCTTCCCCAAGTTGCTTTTGGTCATAGTGTTTTATCACAGCAACAGAAACCCTAACATACACTGTAACTAACCTATTGCCATTTACCATCTAGAGCAGTGGTTCTCAACCTTCCTATTGCTGTGACCCTTTTACACAGTTCCTCATGTTGTGACCCCAACCATAACTGTAATTTTGCTGTTATGAATAGTAATGTAAATATTTGTATTTTCCAATGGTCTTAGGCGACCCTGTGAAAGGGTCATTTGTCCCTTCAAAAGGGATTGTGACCCATGGGCTGAGAACCACTGATCTAGAGTCTCCCTGGATTAAGACAGAAAGATATGCTATCATTGTCCAAGGCATCTGGCCTTTGGGAAGGCAGTTTTTCCTCTTCTTGGTCTCAGTTCCCTCACTTGTAAAATGAGAAGACTGGAACAGAACTGTAGTTCCTTTTAAGTGTTCCATGAAACATTAAACCCACAGGCTGTTCTATGGAAAAAGACCTGCAGACACGTTAGAGATACAAAGAGCATGTTAGCAAAACTGGGCTTCGGAGCAAAGAAACCTAAATGACCTGCATTTACATTAGCATATTCTCAAACATTTTTGGATCCAGCATTCTTTTCCCCATTTCAGCTGACATCATCCCACGGAACATACTGCAGGAAACCCTGTGTGGTCCTCCCTTTCTCCAACTGACCCTGGAACTAGAATCATCCGTCTAGTGACAGAAAGTTAATTTGTCTTCAGTGCCTTTTGAGGTCCCTTCCCAACACCTGCTGCCTGTAAAACCACTGCAGTGTGAGACCCTGCCAGTGGAATCTGCTGAGTCCCCAGACTGGAGACAGAGGCCAAGTAAGCGAGCTGCAGATTCCCCCAAAGGAACTAAAATGACACAGTGATAACCAGTCTCTGGGTGACAATGATAATTACGATCTTGACGTAAAAGGGATAAATGCAGACACATTTTAAAATTGCTCCTAGCTTTTGTAATCTGAAAATTTCTTCACGTGGGCCAAAATGGAATGCACGATTCTTTCCCAGAATGACAAATTCCATGCACACGATATCACATGTTTAGAAACATACAAGGTAACCGTACTTATTCAGACTGCTTGTTGACGCTGCCAGGCTATCTGACCAATTATTCAAAACAAAGATATGTCTGCCCTGCTAATATGATAGAGGAGGGCTGTCTTCCCAGTACCCCGGCAGGTTGAGATTACTAACCCGGGGACAAGCTCAGTGTTGCGTATATGTAAGTATGTGAATGTGTCTATTTTTGGCCCCACCTATCTCAGAAGTAGCCATACACCACTGCCTGAGCCCCTTGTAACTATCCTGGCACAAAGACATTCTGAAGAGACACTTGTGACCTTCCCTTGGGCTCTCAGACTACTGAAACAATGGAGTCCAAGGGATTGGCATTTCCTCAGGAACCTTTTGCTGGTGGAGGAAAAGGCTGAAGCCCTGGTATTGGAGGAAGAGCTTGTTCTCTAAGAAGAGGTTTCAACAGATGACGACAGCTTGTAGGAAAGATGGGCATGGTGGCGTGTCGATGATGGGCAGGGCCACACCGTGACCAGGAACCCTTAGCCCTTATTGAAGCCTAAACTTCATGCCAGCGTCCTGAAGGCGGCATTCATAAGAAGCCAGTGATCTCATTGTCCTTGTTCCCAGGGTGGTCACACTGACAACCCTTCTACCCTGCTTTTCCTTACTTGTTTCTTTAGTTGGAATACTGAGGATAAGTGGTGGGACTGTGCTTGTTAGGGCTACTGAAGCCCGGGCGTCGACTCTAAAAGCTTCAATAATGTCCTCGGCAGCTCAAATACCTCAATTTTAATAGGATGTAAATTATTTTCTCTAGTAATTATTCAGACCAAGGGTTAATAAACTGACATAAAAAGAAAAGATATTTTCTCCAATAAATCTCTTATAATTACATTTCCAGTTTTAGTGACTGCCTCCTAGAATGTCACACCAGTTATAACCACCACTCTAAGATTGTCCTAAAAAGTAGAAAGAATAGCACAGTTCCTGGCTTTTAGTAGCTGTCTAGTAAAGATTATTTCTCTTCAACTGTGAAACATTACAGGATCAGGATGACGTATTCTTTTATAGTTTCTCAGTGTTTAATCAAACATTCCACTCTGTAAGCAACTTCCTTAGTAGGCAACGTGGCATTAAAGGTCTTAATATAGATCTCTGTATTTGTCTGCAGGGTGGTAACCTGATAACTCTGGTGTGTGGTGGGGAGGGCTGTGCTTGGGAGAAGAAGAGACTGCTTTGAAGCCAGAGAGATCCACTTCTAATCTTCATTTGCGGAATGGTCTCAACAAACTCATTGATCAACTCTGTTTTCTGTTGCCTCAGTGATAAGTGGGGCTTAGGCTGTCTTTTACAAGCTCACGGCAGGGATTCCAGATAATCTGTAGCGAGAGCTGCCTGGGCCATGTTAAATATCCAGTGAAAGGGTGTATCACTGTTCTTGCTTTTCTTGCCTGTATGACCTTTCATTCATTCATCACTCCCTCTACACACATTTATTACGAACCCACTAGGACAAGGAAGTACGACACAACAGAAGCCAAGATGAATGTCCTCACAGAGTCTATCTAGTGACTAGATAAGGCACAGCACTGAGTGTGCCCGGACAGCACGTACCATGTGCCAGGCACTAGTCTAAGAATTCTTCCACATCCGCACACCTGTGCATCTTGAGTTTTTACCCCAACCTTGTGCAGCAGGCATCTTGCTCGGTTTATAGAGCTCGTCTGTGCTTTGAACAGCCATGTTGTGTCACCTCTCCAAGTACTTGAGTTTATACTTTCACAGAACATAAACATAAATATATAATGTCACAACATATTTAATACATATTTAACATAATAAAAACATACAAAATAAATATTTATTAAAAATCTAGTGGACCGGCCAAGATGTTATTTCTTTTAGAGAAACCTGGGCACAGAAGTCATCATCAGTCAATTGAGCCAGCACTGACGTGACTGACCACCACGGCCTGAGCGTCTATGATGACAGCCACCTTTCCCAGCCCAGCCCACCCTGTCCACGCGTGCCTTCTAACCCTGCAGGCGTTTTCTAGCAATGACACTGGGCAGCATCCAGTTTTTCCCTCCTCAACATTGGTCTCTTCATCTGTTACAAACATAGGGCCCCTCTAACTACAGTCCAGCTTTGACCTTCAACATTACGCTCTGTCGTGTCCACCAGAATCTTCTAGCAGAAAAGCTAAAAGAAAGCCCACTGGCATATTTTATTTTGTTCTTTCCGTAGAAGTGTTCCATGACCGGATATGGTGCCTGAGTGTTGGCAAGGTAATCAAGGAAGTAGGAAGAAGAGCAGGTTTGAGACTCTAAGTTCACTTCTCATGCCAAGGCAGACACCATCCTGTCCTGAAAGCCTGAACCACAATGTAATCACAGCAGCTCGCTCCAAGACACCACTCACCATCACCACCATGTCTGTAGCAGTGGTTCTCAAGTTTCCTAACGCTGCAACCCTTTAATACAGTTCCTCATGCTGTGGTGACCCCCAGCCATAACATTATTTTCATTGCTACTTCATAACTGTACTTTTTCAACTGTTAGGAATCGTAATGTAAATATATGCATTTTCCCATGGTCTTAGGCAACCCCTATGAAAAGGGCATTTGACCCACAGAGGGCTCACAACCCATAGGTTGGGAATGACTGCTGTAGAAGAAAAGCCACCAAGCTAATATTGAAAGGAAGACCTCTGTCATGTAACTAGTCATCAATAATTAAAACAAAAAAGATTTGACTTACCGGCGGGCACTGGGCCAGCTTATCAGCGGCCACTAGTTGAACATTCAAGTGTTTGCTCTGAGACTTTCCTCTGGACTTAATCAGCCGCTGTAAAACCTGACAGAGGATGACAGGAACTCGAGTCATTGTTAACGAGTTGAAAGAAAATCAAACACACTGGGATCTTTTTCTATAGCTTATGTAACCCTGAGGATTAGTAAGGAGGGCCTACAATGTGAGAAATCGCACACTTAGAGTCTCCATGGTGATGCCGCCCACCTCGCTGTGGGCCTAGAGTAGACTGGACATGTCCATCCTGTCCTACCTCCCCCTGGGGTCCTGGTGACAGCCTCACTTTCCACCTAGACTGTTAAGTCTCTTGCAGATTTCAGAGCTTCCTGCCAAAGGGGAAGAGCTGCCCTGCTCCTGCTTACATTGAGTCAATATTTTGATATTATTCGGTTCAGTAATATTTCAGTTCATTACTTCCATGTCAGATAAATATCAAGGTCACTTATGTATGTCATATTTTTCAATAATTAATAAAATATTTGGTTAAATTTTATATTAATCAAACTATTTCAGGATTGGAAACCTATGTAAAACATTTGTATGGGAACATTGCTACACCTAGAACAGTCTGTATCTCTGCCTTCGGTCATAGCTATAGTTGCATTTGGCCATATGCTTCCTCTTTCATTATTTCTGTTCAGGTTAAAACAGGGCCCTCTCCACTTCAACAGTGCTGCTTTATGAAGTTCTGATACCTTAGTGCACAGGTCCATGCAAGCCCCTGACCCTGCATTTCCAGACACCACAGCAATGGGGTAGTGGAGGTGAGGGTGACCTCAGCCTCACCACAGAGGATGCTTGGGACCCCAGCAGCTGGAGTCGAGGACACTTCCAGTGGTTGAGGCAATGTCAGTCTGTTCTGTTCACACCCCAGAATTAACTGGCAGGGCTTGGGATTCCCACAGTTACTGTATAGGAACAGTCCCTCCAAGATGCTGAGAACTTGGGAAGCATAACAAGCCACACACAGCTTCTGTAGGCCTTTCCCTAACCACAGAAGGAGACCACTGTTTGGGTGGGGAGTTGAGTTTACATTTAGGCAAACCGAATACATTCTAGGAGGCACTGGAAAGGAACTGTTAAGAGAATGCCTTTCAGTGGGTTGAGGTGGGGTACAGAGGGGAGGTGGGGGAAGGGGATGGGAGGGGAGGAGGGAGGGGAATCTGCAGTCTGGGATGTAAAATAAATAAGTAAATCTTTTAAAAAGCTAATGCCTCTCATGGGTACCTATTTCATATTTATTTTTCAGAACACCATCACCATGTAAAAACCAAAGGGAGGACCATGAGAAGGCTCAGTGGGTAAAGGTGGATGCTACCAAGCCTGGAGACCTGAGTTCAAGCCTCAGAGTCCACGTGGTGGACTCAGAGAACTTACAAGTTGTCCTCTGACCTCCACACAGATGCCGTGACAGCACAAGTGCACACACACCCAGAGAGACTAAAAAACTAAGGAAGTAAATGTAAAAAAATAAAAGACCTCAAAATCAAGAGTGCGGTCTGGACCACCTCCCCCGGTTCTTGTCATTCTGGCAGCATCCGTGACCAATGGTGCTTAACCCAGAAAGAATTATATCCCCAAAGAAGCCAGCTGTGCAAAATGACAAGGCCAGCAGCATTTCTAAGTGATGTTTACACAGTCATCTTTTACCTTACATAAGATCTCTTTCTGAACTATGTACTCCCTCTCTCGACTGGGCAGAGACTATAAGTGATTCAAGAATCAATATTACACAGGAAATCTGCCAAGAGGGAATATACAGCCTACGAAAGGCCAGGGTCCACTTTTTGTTTTCTTTCCTTGCACTCCTGTTTGTATTTTATCATCTCTGGCTGCAAGCAGGAGCTTCTCGAAGAGATGTATTATTATTCTCAGCTACCCTCAAATCCCTAGAAGTTGGGTACTGTTTTAAAATGCATTCATTAACTGACTCTCGAGACATTCTTCTGCCCACAAGCTAAAAGGGCAGAGCAAGAGAACCTCAAGAAGGAAGCTTCTAGACTCATAAACAGGAATGCAGTGATTACCTTTGGAGATGAGACTTTCACATGAACGATGATGGGGGCTAAGGACGTCTTTATAAGCTGTGCTGGGTGATTGATGGTGTCTGCATCAAGAACAACCAATTGCAAAGATCTTGCCAATTCAAAAATTCTTTCAATTTCACTCTGTACTTCCGCTAAAATGGGAAACAATAAATGGCAGGTACTGTTAGTCTCAATAACTATTATTTATAGTAAAAAGAAATAGTATATGCTTTCAGATGTATGTGTCCATACTGCAGAACAAAGTACTATGCACTTTCATAGACACATCTAACAAAATTTTGTTTGTTGTTGGTTTGTTTTTTGTTTGTTTGTTTGTTTTGAGACATAGTCTAGTATGTAGCCCTCGCTGGCCTGGAACTTACGTGAGCAGGCTGGTTTCTAATTTACAGAGATCCGCCTGCCTCTGGCTCCCAAGTGCTGGGATTAAAGGTGTGCACCACACAATGTCTGTTCTTTCTCAAATTTTTTCTAAAGATAATACTGTGCACAGAATAAAACAATTGGTGGAAGAACTTGAATCGGCTCTCTTGGTTTGCTTCGGACACCCAGCCTAGCATGGAGCCATTTATGTAGCTATGGTTTTTCCATTTGGGGGTTGCTTTTAACAAGAATGGCATTTGGCAAACACATGAGAGAGACTGAAAGTGACACTGAAGTATTTCTGTCAATAACTTATATTTTATCATTCTGTAGACCACGTTTTGGAAGGAAAAAAACCACCCGACAACTGTATTGATTTGACTGTTATACACATTTTACATCCTCGCTAATTGTTATGAGTGTCCGCAGACAACCAATAGATTTCCAAGTCTGGCTGAATTTAAGCTTTGGAGCCGGTGGAGTTGTCTAAGGTTTATTTACCATAAGTATAACAGAGAAGGAGAGGGAGAGGGAGAAGGAGAGTGAGAGTGAGAGTGAGAGGGAGAGGGAGAGGGAGAGGGAGAGGGAGAGGGA